TGGGATTGTGATTGAGACATCTTAAAATACTGAGTTTTCTCCATGGTTTATCTTTCTGTTTATTATCTCATCTTTAATTTTCCCCCATAATGTTTTTAAATTTTCAGTGTGCTGGAGTTGTACATCTTTTGTCTGTTTTGTTCTTAATAAAAGGGCTATAATCCTAGGCCTTTTTATTTTATTTTGAGACGGGGTCTCTCTGAGTTGCCCAGGCTGGCCTCAAATTTGCTATCCCTCTGCCTCCTATGTAGTAGAATTTTAGGTGTGTGCTACCACCCCTAGCCTTCATATATTTTAATGCTGTTTTAGATAGTATTCTTTTCAAATGTCAGTTTCTGATTGTCTGTTGCTGGTCTGTAACAGTACAGTTGATTTTGTGTATCTTTTGTTCTGCAATCTTGCATATTTTAGCAGGTGTCTTGAAGATTTCCTTAGGACTTTCTACATGTCTGTTAATAAAGATGTTTTAATATTTCCTTTCCAATCTATGGCTTTTATTTTTTATCTTGTTTCATTAGATGGTGAGAAACTCTATAGTTATGTTGAGTGGGAGGTGGTGAGAGCAGACTTTCATCAGTATGATGCTAGTTGTGAATTTTTCTTGGATGATCTTTATTAGACTGTAGAAGTTCTCTTTGATTCCTTTTTTTTTTTTTTTTAAGAATTCTTACAACTTTTATTGGGTAAAGGGGAGGGAAGGGAGGGGAGGATGCACGGGGGCAGGAAAGATGGTGGAATGTGTGACTACACATGGTGTGATGCTACATCATGTACAACCACAGAAATGTAAAGTTGGGCTGCAGTTATGTACAGTGACAGCATTCTGCTGTCATATATACCTAATTAAAATAAATAAAAAATTCTTACTGTCATAGGATACTTGATTTTTCAAGGGCTATTTTCTGTATCTGGTGTATTGGTTTTTCTTTTTTTTAGACTGTTAATATGGTGACTCCATTGATTGAATTTATTCATTAAAGCAACCTTGCATTCCAACCTTACATTCCTACCTTATGTTCCGAGATTAACTATATTTAGTCATGATTTATTACTTATTAGTACATTGCTGGTTTTGATCTGTAATATTTGTTAATTGTTGGGAGTTTGTGTTCATGAGGTATATTGGTCTGTAGTTTCTTTTCTTTCTGGTTCTGGTATTGGAATAATGCTGGCCTCATGGAATGCATTGCGAAGAGGCTCCTTCTCTTTAGGTTTCTGGGAGACTGTGTGTAGACTTGGTGTTTCTCCACTTCCCCTTGTTTGCATTGTTTTCAGTGGGGAACCTGATGTCATTCTTTGTTCCTCTGTCTTCAAGGTTTTTTGTTTATTGTTGAGTTTGAATAATTTTTTAATGTATATTGTAGTTTCCTTTGTGTTTCTGTTGTGGTTGTCTGAGTTTGTTGGATCTTTTGAGAAGTTTTGAAAATTTTCCAGAACTTCTGTTCTGCCCCATTTGGGGACTCCATTTATTCTTATTGAGGCCCGTTGATGTTCTGTTTTGGATAGTTTTTGACAGCATTCCTTCACTACAGATCTTTTCTTCTGTAGGTCCTAAATTTCCGTTTATTTTTATTTTATCTAGAGCTTATTTTTTCCCATTTCAGACAGTTAAAAAAATTTATAGGTTTGATATGGTCCTTTGCTATATTTCCATGCATGTATTATTTTATTTACTTTTAGTTTTTTTGGAGCTGCGGATGGCACCTGGGGCCTGGTGGGTGCTGAGCACTTGCTCTGCCACTGAGCTGCAGCCCCGCCTGTCACGGTCAGGCCCTTGCTTTCCTCTGCTTTCTTGAACACATGGAATGTAGTTATGGTAAGGGCCTCTGTTTCTGGTTAGATCACCTGTCATTTATAGTTTGATTTGGATTGATTTATTTTTTCCCCATAGTACACAGTCATGTTTTCCTGTTTGCCTACCTGATAATATTTATTTATTTATTTGGCATAGAGGTTTATTTAGGAAGATAGATACACATTCAAGGGAGAATGCAGGCTCTCTTGAGAGTGAGAAGCAGCTTTACCTGGTCATATTTGATTGGGTGCTGGCAAGGTGAATTTTACCTTGTTGCACATTGGATATTTTTTTTCTTTACTTTTTTTTTTTTTTTTAAATTTGTGGTGCCAGGGATTGAACTCAAGGCCTCAACCGTGGTAGGCAACTGCTTTATCACTGAGTCACATCCCCAGCTCTCCTTTCCATATTTTTGACCTTTGTTTTGGGACACTGTTAAAATACTTTTTGGTAGTTCGATATTCTTGAACAGGATCTCCTGAACTTCGTACAGGGTCCAGAATAGTTTGTGCACTGTCAAGCCAAGGCTGTAGGCCAGCCCCAGCCAGGTCTATTCATTTGCATTTACTTTGTGGTTGCTTTGTGCTAAAACAACAAAATTTCTCTGTTTTGACAGAGAAAATATATGGCTTTTCAAGCTCAATATATTTACTGTCATCCTTTACAGAAAAAGTATGCTTTTATTTAATTAAACAAATATTTTAATTTTGGACACAATATTTTTATTTATTTTATTTTTATGTGGTGCTGAGGATTGAACCCAGTACCTCACATATGCAAGGCAAGTTCTCTCCCACGGAGCTAGAACTGCCCCTGGCCTGATTTTGAAAATTTGTTTTTAAGCTTTTTAGGCAGGACAGAGCAGTTCCAGGCCTGTTTTTTATTTATTTATTTTTTTTCCTTTTCTGTGCAGTACTGGATATTAAACCTAGTAGTGCTCTACCACTGAGCTCTATCTCCAGCCTTTTTAATTATTAATTTTGAGACTGGGTCTCACTAAATTGCCTGGGCTGGCCTTGAACTTGTGACCTGACTACCTCAGCTTCTCAGGTTACTGGGATCACAGGGGTGCACCAGGGTACCTGTGGGGATGTTTTTCCACATCACTGAGGCAGGACCCGTCTGAGCACTTGACCCACTGCTTGTGCATTTTGAGGGTTTTGCACTCTGGCTTATTGGTGGACAAACTATTTTGGGCCCTGTGTGAGTGTTCTGGAAATTCTTTCACTTGCTCCTTTCCAGTGGTTCTCTCCTTAGCCTTGGGTATTTCTCCACTTGCATGTGTGGAGGGCATCATCAGCAAACCTGGGAGTGTACTCCCTTTTCCTGCACCCCATCCTGTTCCTCTCTGGTGTGCAGCTTTCTGCTCTCACATACTCTGTGAGGAGTGCTCTGCACTTGAGTTCTGGCTGTCTTAGGCTGCCCAAATTCTCTACTCTGTCACATCAGTTCATTGACCTTTACTTTGGGCTATCAGTTGTCCAATATTTTAAAACGGTTGTTTCATATATTTTGTCTGCTTAAAAATTTTTTGAAAATGAAAACAAAAAATTTTTTTTGAGGGCTAGGATGGTAAATCTAGCCTTAGCTACTCTGTCAAGGCTGAATGTGGAAATCTTCAATAGATACCATTTAGTGTTGAAGGGGAGTACCAGTAAATGAAGTGTGTTTGTTGTTGAGAAGGGGCTTCTGATGCTTTCCATTTGCATTTCATGTCTTGGGGGCCCTTTCCTACTGCCATTCTTACTTTGAATTACTAAGAAGTTTCTTTTACTATCCATCTCTTTTTTTTCTAGTCATGGATAAATCTGTCAAATGAACACTTATCATAGAAATTGAAACATTTAAATTGCTGGCACGGTAGCTGATTTCTTGCTGTAGCCATTCAGAATATCTTTAGTCACTGCTGTGGGTGCTTTGAAATGAAATTGCTTGGGTGGAAAAAGTTTTAATACTTGCTCAATTCCTTATTAAGTTTATAGGTTCTACATTATAGTCCTCAAATTTAGTTCCATTCAAACTGTTGGACTCTTGTGAAATTGTAGAATCCTTTAGTGCACTATTTAACATGCCTAAATTTAGATATTTCTCATCCTCTGTAGTCACCAATAATCTTATTTATATTCCTTTTGTGTTTTTATTCTGTTTTCATCACATATACAAAATCAGCATTTTTTGAAATATTTTTTTTAGTTGTAGATGGACACAATATCTTTATTTATTTATTTTTTATGTAATGCTGAGGATCAAACCCAGTCCTCACACATGTGAGACAGGCAATCTACCACTGAGCTATAGTCCCAGCCCCCTAAATCAGCAGTTTTTAAAACATTCTGACTTTTTTTTTTTTTTTAAAGAGAGAGGGAATTTTTTTTTTTTTAGTATTTATTTTTTTTTAGTTTTCGGTGGACACAACATCTCTGTTTGTATGTGGTGCTGAGGATCGAACCTGGGCTGCACACACGCCAGGCGAGCGCGCTACCTCTTGAGCCACATCCTCAGCCCCACATTCTGACTTTGATTATCATTTTCTCTCTTAGATGGTCTCTAGTAAAATGAAGGGAAAAATAAAAAAAGAAATGGTAACTTTGAAATCAAGTATCAGAGTGACTTTTGAGAAAACATGTGGGACATCAGTCAGGTTCTTTTTAAGGCTTTACATATTGTCTTGCTGTTAGGGTTTGTGCTTGCTTCAGCCTCCATCAGTACTGCTGAGAGCAGAAGAGAACATCTTTTCTTTTAGGAGGTAATTTTTCTCGCTAAGTATACCGTAAGAACTTGAAGAATGATCTTAATTTCTCATTTTAAAATGACTGTCAACTTGAGCCAGACTGTTTAACACTTCAAAGTTAGAACACATGGATTTGTCAATAAATTTAAACATGATAGTAGTTGCCATTACTACTAAGTTGTTTGAGTAATATATTATATTCACATTTTAAATGGATATTGATCTTCATTCAGTGACTAAATTGGAGCATCTCAATTCTTATGAAATTGCTGATTCGTTTCCACTTTGTAGTTATATAGCTAGACACAAATTCTAGCCATCATTCTACAGATTTTTCTTATTTTTGCTTCTTTGTGCAGTATTCTTTAGGATAAAAATAAGAATACTTTTTGGGTACTAAAAATAGCAAAAATACATTGTCTTTATAGCAACAAACCTAAAATATACTACTCTGTGTTTCATTGTGTCTTGAAGGTATTTGAGGTTTATTGAGTTGCCCTTGAGTCAGAGAAAGTTCTGTCGGAGCTGTCAGCAGTTGCTCTTACCAGATGACTGGGGGGATCATCATGAGCATCAGATGGTGGGTGATGTCTCTGTCACCCAGTTAAGAAGGCCCAGTCAACTCCTTTATCCATTGGAAAACAAGAAGACAAATGCCCAGTACCTGTTTGCTGATCGGACTTGTCAATTCCTAGTAGACCTCCTTTCTGCCCTGGGATTCAGAAGAGTACTGTGTGTTGGAACACCAAGGTATGTTCTATGATTGTTAAAAACTTTTTTCTATCACTATTATTTAAACTGTGGGGAGATGCATGGAGTTGTTATTTGCCTGTGTAGGGTATGGCATGAAGCTTTTGAGTATTCAAAGGAGGTGGAAAACAGGGTCTCTCTCTTGAGTTTGCCACCTGTATTCCATTTGAGAGAAATCTTTGTAAATTTCTTTTTGATATATTTGATAGGAGACACTTCCTTATAAATAACACATACTCCTTTAGGAAACGCTTTCTGATTTGAGATCAAAATTGTTTAAAACATGAAATTATGAAACATCTCTGTTTCAGAAGAGTTCAGCCCTTTTAAAAGTATTTGCAAAACTAAAACCTTGGTTATGCCTGCCAGATTCTCCTTGGAGTTTCATTGAAATATCAGAGAGATGAGAGAAAGTTGATGGATTTTGTTGTTTGTTTGCTTATTAACTATGACATTTGTAATTTCTTACTGAATTTGCTTTTGCTAATTGCTTTAGGTTGCATGAGCTGATCAGGTTGACAGAACCAGGTGATAAGAAACCTCATATTAAAAGCCTTTTATTGGACATTGATTTTCGGTAGGTTTACAAAATGTAATATTTATTCTTCTTCATTGTCTCCTGTTTCTTTTTATGTTTTTCTCCTCTTAATTGTTATAATCTGACACAAGTTTTTTTTTTTTTTTTTTTCTCTTTTATTTTCAGCACTGGGATTGAATCCAGGGGTACCACCTACTACTGAGCTACATCCCTAGTCCTTTTTAATTTTTACTTTTGAAACAAGGATCTTGCTATGTTGCTGAAACTGGTCTCAAACTTGCAATCCTTCTGCTGGGATTGTAGGTGTATGCCACCACTCTTGGCCTGACACAACTTTTAATTAACAATTAAAAGTAGTAGTTGGTTATGAAGAACCTTTTTAATCATGTAAGCTCAATATGTGATCTTCCATATTTCAGTAGGGAAGCAGTTGATTTCTCTCTTTGCTAGTGTACTTCCTAGATATTTTTCTATGAATGTGTTTAGTTGTGACATAGAGGTGAATTTCTTTTTAAAAAAAAAAAAATATTTATTTTGGGGCTGGGGATGTGGCTCAAGCGGTAGCGCACTCGCCTGGCATGCGTGCGGCCCGGGTTCGATCCTCAGCACCACATACCAACAAAGATGTTGTGTCTGCCAACTAAAAAATAAATATTAAAAATTCTCTCTCTCTCTCCTCTCTCACTCTCTCACTCTCTCTTAAAAAAAAAAGAAAAATAAATATTTATTTTGTAGTTTTAGGTGGACACAACATCTTTATATTTATGTAGTGCTGAGGATTGAATCCAGTGCCTCATGCATGCTAGGTGAGTGCTCTGCCACTGAGCCACAACTTCAGCCCCTACAGGTGAATTTCTGTTGAAGGAAGTTTGTTCTCATGTACTTAAGGTCAAAGATAAACTGAACTTCCTCATGCTTAATCACATTTCTAGGATTTTGCTGGGTGTGGTGGTGCACGCCTGTAATCCCAATGATTTGGAAGGCTGAGGCAGGAGGATTATAAATTCCAGGCCAGCCTCAGTAATTTACAGAGACCTTATATAATTTAGTGAGACCCTGTCTCAAAATTAAGATAAACAGTGGCTGGAGTTGTGGTTCAGTGGTAAGGGTGCTGACCTGGCATGTGTGAGGCCCTGGGTTCAATCCTCATCACCACATATAAATAGATGAAAAAAAATTCATTGACAACTAAAAAATAATTTAAAAAAATTAAGGTAAACAGGACAAATAACCAATAAATAAAGTTTTCTAGTACTTTGTTTCATCAGCAGATCTTTGAAGTGGGGTCAGACATTTTAAAATATATTTTACCAGATAATGTCCTACTGGCTCACTGGCTACTCCTGATGTGAAAGGAATGGACAGGTCCCAAGGTAGAGGACTGGCTAGCATCTGAATCCTGTGGAAGAATGTGAGAATTAAATCGCCTCTGATGTGTTGGGTCATACACGATGAGGCAAAGCGAGGAACATGCCAAAGTGCCCCACTGGTGGGTGTTTCCAGGAAGCCGACCTTTGGTTGCTAACACACGACACCTGTGTCCACCTCCTGTTCCTGTGTTCTGCAGAACTGAACATACTCCTCCTGGTTTCTATAATTGTTTGAATCCCAGGAGTTCATGGTGGCTATATATACACTGTGCTCTTAGCGTCTTATAATCTTTCACAAGAACATGTTCTTGGGGCTGGGGATGTGGCTCAAGCGGTAGCGCGCTCGCCTGGCATGCGTGCGGCCCGGGTTCGATCCTCAGCACCACATACCAACAAAGATGTTGTGTCCGCCGAGAACTAAAAAAAATAAATACTAAAAAAGAACATGTTCTTAATACATTATCACACATGGTATATCTTTTTATTTAGATCCAATTGGAGCATATTTGGCCAATATTCCAGTATTTGTTGGCGAGAATCTATGAAATCAGATATGCTTTCTCTCCCTAAAAACAGGGCAGACAGATTTTTAAAGTGTAAAATGTTACATTAAACAGTATAACTTTTGTAATTTATTTTTCTTTAGCTTTCTAAGTCATTTTTTTCTGCTTCTTTCTTCCCTCTCCCCTTCCTCCCTTCCTTCCTTACATCTTTTCTTTTTTTAGGGGGGGAGTCCATACATGCTAGGAAAGTGCTCTACCACTGAACTACATCCCCAGTCCCTAAATCAATTTTATGTTGCTTGAAATAAGCAACTGCATTTTTTAGACCTTTCCTATACTATGTCATTCCTTTTTAACAGCGTTTACTTGTTATCTATTAATTTCTTGTTAACCGGACTAGCATAGTTAGCTAAAGTCTGCTCAACACAAGTGATCCTTGGCAAAATGATAATACAGATTTCTTTGTAAAGACAACTTAGTTTTTTAAAATTTAAATAGAATTCATATCCTGTTCTCCATTTTTAAGTGGGTTTTGTGTGTATTCACTGTATGTGGAATCATTATCACTCTCTACTTCCAGAATATTTCCATCACACTGGAAATAAACCCTGTCTTTACTTACCTTGGTAACCACTTTTGTCTCTATGGCTTGTCCGTTATGGACATTTGGTATGAAATCACTCAAAAGTGACCTTTGTGTCTGACTTCTTTCAATACTCATATGTATCTTAGTGCATAACAACCTCATAACTTTTATAGCTGTAAAATATTTCACCCTATGGGTATATCAATTTTTCTAAAAATTCTATATTCGTTTTCTAAGGTAACTATAAATGCATTGTTTTAAAGGTAGAAGTTTGACTACTGGGTTCTTAGCATGTCGGTATTAATGGTAGCTGGTATTTTCTAAATTGCGTGTCCCACGTCAGGCCTATTCTAACTCATTCCTCATAATGTATAGGATGGAGGCTGTTATCATCTTTGCTTTCCAGATGAGTAAACCGAGGTACAAAGAAGTGAAATAAACAAACTCACAGTTTGTAAATGACTAAGCCAGGATTCAAACCCAGGTAGTCTGGCTCTAAAAATTAGGTTATCCTCTGGGGATAACTTTGTTTTTGAACTTGTATATAAGCCTCTCTTATGTAGTCCATCATCTCTCTCTCGTGATCCCTCTCTCTCTTTCTCCCTCTGCCCTCTCCTCTTGTGCCACAAAGGTTTTCAGATAAATTGAAAACTGTTTCCAGGTTATTTATATATTTAAAATAAGGTACTCATACAAGTTGGAAATCTTTGGTTGGTTCCAGAAATCTAATCATGTGCAGGAACTATTGGTTTTCATTCCTGGGGCCTAGGACCCAGCAGGCCTCAGTCCAGGCGAGAGCCCGAGCCTCACATTGTGTCGTTAGTGCTCTTTCTCTCCCGTTCTTTTTCTGTGTAGACAGTTTTCCTTTGTATGCTGGGACTTTGTTGACAGCACTGTTAAACGTGTATAGTCTCAGCCGTCTTTCCCAGGGTCTGCAGCAGCAGAACTCAGGGAGTGCAGTCAGCTTGCCTGGATCACAGCCATCACTGTGCCCGGGCCAGCCCTGGACCAGCCACATAGAGTAGGTTTTCCATAGGTAAGAGGTGCTTGACTGAAAGAGGAGAGATTCAGTTGCTAGAGAGAATAAAATAAATAAATAAATAAAACAAACCAGATGTCCATAATCAAATAATTCAGGACAAAATATACGGTTTTCAAGAACACTCTCTCCTACCTTTGGCACCTTCAGTGAAAAGCATACAGTGTTATCTTTCTAATAGTATATAGTTCTTTGAGTTACATTAAAAGTCATATAATGATTTTGATTTCTGAAAAGGCAAGATTTCTTCAAGAGAGTTGTGGTGGATTTGGGCATTATGCTGCAGGCCTGTAATCACAGTACTCTGGAGGCCAAGGCAGGAGAATTGCAAGTTCAAGCCCAGCCAGGGCAACTCAGAAAGACAAAGTTTAAAAAATAAGGAAAAAAAAAAAAAAAGGCTGGAGAGCACTCCAAGGTGCAATTTCTAGTATCCCCCACCTATCACAAAATAGTTGTGGTGGAATGATTTATGCAGAAAGAAACTAAGAAAATGCCTGACATGTGTCAAACCTGGGTTCAATCCCCCATACCATACCCGTCCCCCCCAAATGTATATATGTGTGTGTCTGTTTGTATTTACATATGTAAGTATGTAACATATATATGTAAATTTATTCTGTACACACACACAGACAGAGTCAAGGAAATTGTTCAAATTGCAGGACTATCTGGTTTATATTGTCTTAGTTTTTAAAGGAGAACGATCTTTAATTCACCCAGAACATTCTGGATTTGGGTTTTTACATTTTTTTAAGCATATAAACATTTTAAAAAGTAGATTCATATAGTATTTTTTTTTCCACTTGCTATATTTTGGGCATATTTCTTCTTCTTTTTTTATAGTTTTCGGCGGACATAATATCTTTGTATGTGGTGCTGAGGATCGAACCCAGGCTGCACGCATGCCAGGCGAGCACGCTACCACTTGAGCCACATCCCCAGCCCCGGCATATTTCTTTATTTTTTAAAAATGCAGATGTATTTCAACACTGACAAAACAGTAGTTTTCAGTATCTCGACAAGGTTGTAGAACCATCATCACTAATTCCAGAACATTTTTATCACCTTTGAAAGAAATGCTCTCCTAGTGATTAGTCTCTTCCCATCCCTCAACCCCTAGCCCTGGGCAGCCGTGGTCTAATTTCTGTCTTTATAGATTTGCTTCTTCTGAGTATTTCATATGAGTAGAATCATACAGTAGATGAACTTTTGAGTTTGGCTTCTTTCACTTAGCATGTTTTCAAGTTTCATCCATGTATGAGTACTACATTTTTCTTTTATGGGTAAATAATATTCCACTGTATGGATATAGGGAATTTTGTTTACCCATTGCTGTGGTTAGGGTGTTAAAGATATCCAGAGGTCCATATGTTAAAGGCTTAGGCTCCAGGGTGGTGCTAGGGGAAGTTGGAGGAGTGGCCTCCTGGGAGTCCTTGGTCAGGGTTTGCCCTTGGAAGGCAGGTTTTGTGAGACTCCTTGGCAGTTCTCACAGGATTGTTATAAAAGCCTGAATTTGCCCTCCCACCCCCTCTTCTATTTTG